TTTTCAAAATCAACAAAAACATGATTTTTATTAAAAAAATGTCTACGCTGGTAAAAAAAACTAAACATAGAAGTAGACATAGACAAATAAATAACGTAGATAACTTATGCAACTTCTATTTTTTATAAAAAAAACATAAATCATACAGAAATTAAAAGTTTTAGACTTTTTAAATATAAACAGATTTAGGATGAGCATTTCCAGGGTATTATTTTATATACATTCAAAAAAAATTTTTTGTTGGATTCTAATAACATTATAAAAAAAAGTTTCTTTATTTATAACAATACATACATACATACATACATACATACATACATACATACATACATACATACATACATACATACATACATACATACATACATACATACATACATACATACATACATACATACATACATACATACATACATACATACATACATACATACATACATACATACATACATACTTATTTATAAAAATATTTAATATTTTTAGCATTGAAAAAGCAAATACTGTATTTTTAACATTGAGAAAACAAATAACATTTTTTTATAAAATGGAAACACTTATATGTGAGTTTATTAGGTTTGTGACGGAATGCACTAATAACAAAAAATAAAAATAACCGTGAAATGTTTTTCACTGTATATAACAGTGAAATGATTTTCTTTTTGAATCAACAGATGTTTGTACAAAAGAAAAACCCTCTTTTTGCTCGAACAAATTAGTTTAAATTAAAAAAATTAGTTTTGTAAAATAAATAAAGAGTATTTAATTTATAGAAATAATTTTTGGCAGCATTTTAACTATGTTCCAACAATTTTTTGTTTTTATAAGCATGAAACATTTGATAAAAAACATCAACATCTTAAGATTCCAATAAATTCTTTGGCTTAACTAATATTAATATTCCTATGATGTTTTCTAGCGCTGCATAGTGGGGCAGAATTGCATCAAAATTGGACATTTGACCAAAATGAAAAAAGGCGTCACCACACTTTTTTTGTTGGTAATGTATAATTGAATAATAAAACTTACTTAAAGTTCTCAAGTTTTTACTGTGTTAATCTTTCCATAGGTTTTTATTGTGAGCTTTTTCTAGAGATTGTTTGGTTCCTCTTAAGATATTGCAACTAGAAGGTGAAAATAATTTTTTCGCCTTTTATTTTAGAACCTGGCAACTTAATTTAAAAAAAATATTCTCACACCAATTTGAACCATTATACAAAAAAAATAAATGAACATCATAAACAGACCCAGATAATTTAGAATTGATAATTCCAAAATGAAATTTTATATACTTCCTACATTTATAACCAGAAAAAAGAAGCTATACCACTTTGTCAAAACCAGCATCATGGACATCACAGTAACGTGTTCTTTACTGACATTAGGGAGATTAATAGACATTTTTACTGATATTAGAGATTATGGTGACCCCAAAAAAATTTGATTTAAACTAATCTCATAAACTATTGTCAAAAAGTGATAATTTTTTAATATAATTTAACTACTATTTCTTAAATTTTCATATAATTTCGCTTCATTTTAGGATCAACATAATATTTATTATGACAATAATAATTGTACACGGTATTTATGCAATACCCAGTGGGCACCCGACGTGAATCCGACGTCGGATTTACGTACGATTTTCATCAGCGATGTCAAAAGACCTATTCCGACGTTGTTCCGATGTCAGTAAAATGACGTCGGGCGATGTCTTTATCTCAACATCCCCTGACGTCGTTTCGATGTATTTTGACGTTGTTCCGACATCTTATAAAAGACGTCCAAAAAACGTCGCAGTACTGACATCGATCCAACGTCGATAAAAAGACGTCGGGCAACGCCATAATATTAACGTACTCCGATGTCTTTTGACGTCTTCCGACATCAATCCAACGTCCTTAAAACGACGTTGGAAGACATCGCTGATGAAAATTTAATCCAAACCCAACAATATGTGTGCAATTGCGCTCTTCAATAATTATGTGAACTAAGCGTGTTTTTTTATTAATGGAAAAAAGTTTGAATAATGGTTGATAAAACATCATGAGGTTTTGTATGATGCACTAGCATAGTTTTTTAACTATTAACATTTTCGAGTATACATTTTTTATAATATATAAATATTCGTTTTAATATTTATATAATATTTAAACAAAATTATTTCTTATCAAAGTAATAATTCCCAAATAGCTACAAGTATACATTACTATATAAACACATGAATTAATATGTCCCTGTGGTGTAGTGGTAAGCGCGTAGGATTAAGTATCTAATAGACCGAGATTCGATTCCTGCCTATGGCAACGTTTTTTAGTTTTTAAAAAACACGTTGGATTTACATCGGAATGCCGACGTCGCGCGATGTCAGTTTATCCGACGTCAAATAACATTCCCATTTCCAACGTAAACCCAACGTCGATCCGACGTCGAGATCCGACGTCGCTCGACGTTCGTTCGACGTCGAAATGCCCACTGGGTAGTTTATTTGTATTAATAACAATTACTAATACATTAACAACTACTAAAGCAAAAAATTATTATTCGGTTACATTTTTTTCAATTTGTAAATTTGAACTGATTACCATTGAAAGTTTTCAGTTGCAGTTTTGATGTTTTATTCACTCGAGTTGGTTTATTGAGTTCTGGCAAGACGTTGTAATTAAACAACAAAAGTTATTTTATGATTTGTCACGTTGTTGTAGTTCGTTGCGTTCAAATTTATGTCACCTGTGACATAATTGTTTATTTTCAAAGCACATTTTTTAATAAAGTTTTAAAACGATCTGATTTTGCCAAAAGATTAACACATCCAATTACAGCATTTTTATTCTTTACATTAATTTAATAAAAAGACGTTCGTTGTTTTCATTTACAAAGCGTAATTTATTTTTTTTATCTTTTTATATTTTTCAAGTATGTAAACACTTATTATTACACTTTTTTATGATTTCTTTGTAGCTAAGTTGTAGCTAAGTTGTAGCTAAGTTGTAGCCAAGTTGTAGCTAAGTTGTAGCTAAGTTGTAGCTAAGTTGTTGCAAAGTTGTTGCAAAGTTGTTGCTAAGTTGTTGCTAAGTTGTAAATCGGGGAGCTGAAATTAGAAAGCGGTTCAATCGGACTTCATGCCAAGTCTCTGACAGAGATAAATACTTTAAAATTCTTTAGAGTTTTTAAAACCTTTGGCGCATACCTCTTATGTTTAATAAACTTGAGAAAAAGAATTATTATCTTCTTTGATTTTGAAATTACAAGTATTAAAATTTGGCGCTTTCATTAAAATCTTATATGTTTCATTAAAAGTATTTGAGTTCTTTTCGGACAAGACGAGAACATCGTCAAACGGATCTAAATTTTAATTTTTAAAATTTTATTTATCAAGAAAAATTTCAGCATTTTTATCAAAAACTAAATAAAATTAGAATTAATTTAAAACTTACTTATAAATATTGTAAATGCTTAAATAGTTTGCGAAATTTCACCTGCATGTGAATTCTTTTGTTTAAATTCATGCACTAATATTTGTATAACATAACAAACATTTGTATAACATAACAAACATTTGTATAACATAACAAACATTTGTATAACATAAAAAACATTTGTATAACATAGCAAACATTTGTATAACATAAAAAACATTTGTATAACATAAAAAACATTTGTATAACATAACAAACATTTGAATAACATACCAAACATTTATGACTAAGTTATATGTTTTTGCTTTACTATATAAGTAAAACATATTTGTTTGTGGAAGTTTTTCCTAAGTTCTTCTCATAGTCTAACTAAAATTCTTAAATATCCGTGGCCATTGGTCAATTTATGATAGTGCAAATATGACATTTTGCAGGAGAAGAGTTTGAAAATTGAATTTGTTGCCACAAATCGGGTAATAATGAAAAATAAATGTTTATTGTATTAAGAGGTAATACACTACAGCAATCATAGTTTGACCAAATGAAAGATCTAAAGAGATTTAACAAAACTGCATACTTATGTCAAAATGAACAACTTTGCACTTATCATAAATTGACCACTTGATTCCATCGCATCAAAATTGGGTTTAAGTTTGGCGATTGTGCCGCCATATCATAATTTTGATATGGCTTCATTTTTTTTGTAAACAGTTTGTTCAATATTTGGATGTGTGTTTTGGTTAATTATCTTGATGCACGTTGAACCCGCGCCAAACTAAACGGTTTCCACATGGTATGGCATTTCTACATAACATCTTATGATATCCCTTCTTGTCGAGAACTCTTTTTACTTTCACGAGATTACCAGCTTGATTAGGAGAAAAACAGCCTCTCGCCATTACTGAACCTCCACCATGTTTGACAGTAAGCTGTATACATTGTCGATGAAATTTTTCAGTGGCAGCTCGTTTTCACATAGATTTTTTTTGCTTTGTTCCAAAAACAATGAATTTGAATTCGTTCGTCCACAATACATTTCGCCAGTTTATTTCTGTCCAATTTTTGTGATCTAGAGTCCATTGAAACATATAATAATCAAAATTTATTTTTATAAATTGGAAATTTATAAAAATAAATTTTGATTGTTAAAGTTTGAATGGAAATTATATAACTAAAGTTAAATTAACTTTAAACATTAAAGTTAATTTAACTTTAGTTATATAAAATAACTGAAGTTATTTTAAATAATGAATTCTTTTATTTATTATGATTATTATTTTTGTGTGAGTGTGTTTTTTTGTTTTAAGCCATTCTCAGGTTATAAAAAAAATATATAATTTACACATAACGTAAAAGTTCCACTTCAAATTTTAACAGTTTCTTACTTATAATAATTGAAATCAAACTTTAACTTTTTTTTTTTTTTTTTTAATTAACAAAGCAATTAGAATAATATGTACTTTTGTGTTTTTGAAACGAATAATGCAAAATATATGTTTTCTTTATTTTTCTATTATAAACCTATTTAAACTACAGGGTGACCACAAAGTATCCGCACAGATAAAGAACTTAATAAAAAGCATGTAGAAAGTATTTGGAACACAAATTTTATTTTAAAACATTTATTGAACTATAACAATTATGATTCAAAGATTGAATTCGAATTTTTCTCCATCAGCAAAATAACAGGCCTGTAGGCGTTTCGGGAATGCTTCGACGCGAGCAAGTAGGCAGGGTCCAGAGAATCCCAAGCTTTCAGTAGTGATTTTTTCAAACTTTCAATATTTTTATGCGGCTTTTGGCATGCGTTTGCTTCTAGGACGCTCCAGACTGAGAAATCCATCGGGTTAAGATCGGGGGTCGATGGCGGCCATTGAGAAAAGTTGACGATAAGGAGAAACGCGCACCATTCTGAAAAAACCAATTGAACATAGTTTACAAAGTATATAAAGTAAAGTATATAAAGTTTATGACATAATATTAACCAAAAACAACAAATAAATAAGAAAATACATAAGTGGTTTTATGCTTATATTTTCACAAGATGAAACCGTCTCGTGTGCGGATACTTTGTGGTCACCCTGTAATTTGATTGCGAAATTTCTATTTTTCTGAAAAAATCAAAACTCACACAAAAATAATAATAATAAATAAAAGAATTAATTTTCTATATTAACTTTAGCCAATGTAAAAAGAAAAAAGATTATGCTCTAATTGAATTGCCGAGATTGAAAGTCAAAAATTGGCCATTTCGATTTTTTTACAGACTTCTAATCGTTATTTGCTAGACATATGTTTAAGTGCAAAAAAAGGAACTCAGTCAACCATTTAAAATTTTATAATTGACTGTTTTTTGTGTTGTTGTTAGGTAGGTAATCCTTTATTTAAGCAGCGTAAAATAAAGTTATTTGATTTATGTGTTATTCTTATCAAACAATAGTTAATAGGCTTAAGTCTGTTAACTATGATAAAGCGACAATGTCATAAAAAAGCTCTTATAACTAAAACAAAAATACAACTAAAAGTAGATGTTTTCAGTGTTAGTCTGTCATGTGTATTTGGAGCATGTGTATTAGGGTGTGTCAAACTCATGCCAAAACTTAAAAAATCAGAAACTTAAAAAACCATTGGCATTTTTTAAAAAAGGGGAGATCCAACATATCAAATTACAAAACTGTCAAAAAATTTAAATTTAAATGACTTTAAGGTACCCCAGTGGGCAAGCGTTGTCCGGAGGACGTCTGCTGGACGTCTCATGGACGTAAGACGTTTAACGGACGTCCCCCGGACGACGCATGCCCACTGGGACCAAGGAATTGCCTTGAAAACTGCACAAAATAAGGTGATTTTTTCATATTCTCATATTTTCAGGGTCAATTTCCTTTTTTTTTTAATTGTTGATTTTGATAGACAATTTTATGCTGATTAAGAATCGTATAAAAGCATAGGTCTGAAAATCAACAGAAAGTGCTCTAATTCGATGTTGAAGTTTAAAAAATTACACTAAAAAACGCTAATATTCGCCATTTTTTTCATTCTCGTTTATAATTAAAATCCTTTTCAAAGATGATTTTAAAAAAGCTTGGTTTCTATCGACAAATTAAAGCAAAACTGTTTAAAACTGTAAAAAACGCATAGCACATTATTTTCTAATTAGTCTCTGGCCCTAACCCTAACCCTGTCCTAAATTCGCGCCAATTCCTTTTTGTCAGTCAATGCATGCACATTTTTTTCTTTCTTTGTTGTTCTCGTTTACAATTATATCACTGCATAAATACATTTTTCAAAGGAAAAGTAATAATGTCGTTATAAAATACAATAAGCAGTAATAAATTTAAAATATCAAGAACGTGGATGGAAAAGAATCCATTTGGTTTTATCAATTTTCAGAGATAATTTATTATCTTTATTCAATCAGAGATTTTAACTAGTTCGTTGTTCATGCTTGCAAATATAGATATAATATTGTTATGGGATAAAAAATAGGTTAGTGTAATCTGCAAACATGCTGTATAAAGATTGTCAATGTAAATAAGAAAAAACAGAGGTCCCAGTATTGACCCTTGAGGAACTCCTCATTTAATATCAAGAAAATTACTTATCCATTTAAAATTATTTTTAACCCACTTTAAAACACTTCCAGTTATTCCATAGTATTTTAATTTGTTAGGAGAATTTCATGATCAATTGTATCAAAAGCTTTTGCTAAGTCTATAAAAACTCCCAAAGTGAATTGAGAATTCTCAAAGGATTTAGTTATACTTCTTGTAAGATGAATAACTGTATCTTCAGTAGAGTTATTTTTTTTGAACTCATATTGGTTGTTATATATTAGATTGTTTTTAATTAGATGACTATTAGGGCCGTTCCGAGGGGGTGTAGGGGGCTAAACAATCCCCTACGAATTTTATTAGTCAGCATATTGGACACTAGAGTCGGCAAAATTGGATCTATATTTCGCGACGTTAGAATTATCTTGTTCTATCTCCACTTTCTGAAAAAATTGTGTTAATGATAGTGTTATGTTCCTCAAATTAATGTCTTTCTACTGAATTGAAATCTAAGTTATAAGTAAAAAAGTTGCGGAAAAACAAAAAGTTATAAAAAAAATTTGTACGCCGTCTCCAAAGGTTTTTGTTTTTTAAATCGTTTTATCTCAAAACTAAAAAATGTGGAGATAGAACAAGATAATTCTAACGTCGCGATTTGGCAGTCGGCAAATGTCGGCCAACAAGGACCTTTTTTTCTTTTCTTTTTTTTTTTTTTTTTCGATAGTCGGCAAAAAACTTTTTTTGTCTTTAGTTGACAATAAACAGATGCGTTACCCCCCCCCCACCCTTCATTAAAATTTCTTCGAGACGGCCCTGATGACTATAGATTCTGTTATAAACAATTCTTTCTAAAACTTTTAAAAATCCGGAGAGAATGGGTATGGGACAATAATTGCTTACATTAGTTAAATCTCCTCCTTTATATATTGGTATAATCTTTGCTGTTTTTAGTTATTGGGAAAAACGCCTTGCTTGATCGAACGAGAAAATATCTTAAAAAGTATGTGTTTTAGGACATCATTTGAGTTGATAACAATGTTTTCATTGATATCATCCGGACCAAGCATTGTTTAGTTTTAGCATTTAAAGGCACGTTCGAGTTCTTCAAAAGTTAGTTCAAAATAATTATGTTGAGAAGTAAGAGGAAAAAAGTGATCTTTTTTTAAATTGTTTGCTGGATGAATTTTTTGACTAGATTTAGGCCAAGTGGAAAGCGGCGTGGTATGCGGACGTGTTTTTTAGTCGCAGCGTAAAAAGTTCTAACTTTATGTTAAAAATGGAAATAACAATGAAGAGCATTGAAAAAATGATTTCATCAAAACTTGAAGAACATAAAAAAAGCATACTTAAAGAAACAGAACGTTTGCTAAAGGAGCAGGAAAAAACTTTCACCTCAATAATGAGTGCAAACCTTAAAATTATAACCGATAGGTTAGACGTTATAGAAAAAGACAATAACAACAATAAAAGGAAAATATCGAATTTTGAAAAAGATATCAATGACATTAAAGACAGCCTTAATTTTCAAGAAGATAAATTTTCAGAAAAATTATCACACATAAAAAAATACTATGACAATGAAGTAAATATATTAAACAAAAAAACAGTAGATTTGGAAAATCGATCGAGACGAAACAACTTAAGAATAGACGGACTACACGAAACACCAGGAGAGAATTGGGATGATTGCGAAAAAGCAGTAAAAGTAATGATTAAAAAACAACTTAAAATTACAAGTGAAGTGGTGATTGAACGAGCTCATCGTATCGGTCAACACAAGCATAACAAACCAAGAACAATAGTCTTAAAACTCTTAAATTTTCAGGACAAAAACAAAATTCTCAACGCAGTAAAGCACCTTAAAGGAACCGGCCTATACGTTAATGAAGACTTCGCTCCAGAAACAACTGAACTCCGAAGAAAGCTTTGGGAAGAAGTAAAAAAACTACGCAGCGAAGGTAAATACGCTATTTTAAAATACGATAAAATATTTAGTCGAGATTTCAAAAAGTAGCGCCGCGTTCTCTTTTAATTAAACTCTTTTTTAAACGAACGCGTATTTAATTTTTGCTTCTTAACTTAATGACTTACAAAACAATAGATTTTGAATCGCTGCGTTTTAATGTCTTCGAAACCGCAAATAACGTACTCAATGATTTTTGTGACGTTGATACGCAAATCTTTCAAGTTAATAACTTTGATTCGCCTTATTTCAACATTAAAAATTTTAAAACTGAACTCCAAACTTTTAAAAATAACTTTATGGCAATACACATAAATATAAGAAGTATAAATAAAAATTTTGATAAATTAAAACATTTCTTAACCGATTGCAATTACTCATTCAGTATGATTTGTCTGACAGAAACTTGGTGCTCTGATGAATCAATTCAAAAAAATTCTAACTTTCAAATTCCATATTATAAATTATTATCTTCTGAAAGGAAAGCAGACAAAAGGGGGGGAGGGATTGCAACATATATTCGGAATGACCAAGCAATAAAAGCAAGAAAAGACCTTTCGATTTCTGATTCCAGTTGTGAGGTACTTACAATAGAAATCACTAACTCCAAAACTAAAAATATCTTAGTTTCTACCTGCTATAGACCACCTGAAGGAGATATAAAAAAATTTTCAAGCTACTTGGAAGATATCTTTCTTAAAATTAATAGAGAACAAAAAAAACTATTCTGCATAGGTGATTTAAATATAGATTGTTTAAAATACAAAAAGAATGCGACCACCAAACTTTTTTTTGACAACATGTTTCAACATTGTATCTTTCCGATTATCAACAAACCTACGCGAATAACCCCGAATTCAATTTCCGCAATAGATAACATCTTGACAAATGCATTTCAAGATTCCTCTTTAAAAACAGGTATAGTTAAAACCGATATTTCGGATCACTTCCCAATTTACTTTTCTATAAATCAAGATACAAGAATAAACAACAATTCTAAAACCAAAATTTATATAAGAAAAACTAATAAAATTTCTATTCAAAAATTTAAAGACACACTATCAATAGTGAATTGGGATGAAGTATATAAAAAATGCAACCTTGAGGACACAAACTCCGCATATAATACATTTATCGATATTTTTTTAAATCATTATAATAGTTATTTCCCGATCGAAGAAAAAATAGTTAAAGAAAAATATTTGAACTGTCCATGGATTACTAGTGGAATTAAAAAATCCTCTAAAACAAAACAAAAACTCTACATAAAATATTTAAAAAACAGAAATGAAGTCAACTTATCTATCTACAAGCAATACAAAAATCTCTTTGAAAAAATAAGGAAAAACTCTAAAAAAATATACTACTCAAAACTATTTCAAAATACGAATGGCGATATTAAAAAATCATGGAACATCATGAAAGAAATAATCGGGAAAAAAAAAACCAAAACAAATATCTTACCTGATAGAATTGTTGTGGATGAAAAAGAATACAACGATAAAAGTTCTATAGCCGAACATTTCAACAGTTTCTTTGCAAACATCGGCCCTAACATGGCGTCCAAAATTCAATGCCCAAATACCTATTTTGAAACCTATCTTACAAATCAACAAAGCGAACTAAAATTCAATGGACTAGACTATGATGAACTCGAAGCTGCAAAAAATTCTCTAAAAATTAACAAAGCACCAGGGATTGATGAGATTTCTAGCAACGTAGTAATAAGTGTCTTCCCGGTGATACGCAAACCCATATTCAAAATTTTTAAATCTTCAATTATAACAG